TGTACATTAATGATACCAAAAAAAAAAAAAAAGAATTACTTGTGTAGTTGGAACAAACTGAGTTTTTATACTGTCGACAAGTTTGTGGCTGAATTAGTGGTACATAGAAAAATGTGCAAAAGGAAAAACCAAACAGGAAAAACAAGCAGTTGTAGGAGAAAAGAGAAAAGAGGTGAATCTTTCTGTACCCAAGGCCTGTAGTATTTAAGTGTGACGTGGCTACACTGGGAGGTGCAGGCCGGCCTGGCAAGTGGAGAGATCCACCGAAGGGGTAAGGCTGCCATCTGTACGGCCAGCTTGGGTGGGTGACGCAGGAGCTGCGGTCTGGTACTTCACGTTGATCTGTGTACAACCTTATTTGGCTGGAAAATTTAAAAAAACAAACTTACCTAAGTACAAAGTAATGAAGCCAATAAGACGGGTCAAAGTAGACTCCTCTTGGAGTGGCAGGGCCTGGAGCCCTCCCTGCCAGCCCCTTAGTCAGGGTGCAGAGGGGAGGCCCCAGGGGGTGCATGACCGACCTCAGCCAGGACAGGCAGCAGGCAGGAGGGGACTTCTGTTCATGTGAGCAGACCCCACACCCTTGGGGTATCCCGGTCAGATCCCCAATCTCGGTGGCCCCTGGGGCCCCCTCTACCCAGGGTGGGGCCTGGAGGTCGGCTGCCTCTGCTCAGTAGTGTGCTGCAGTGAACTGATCTCCCCCACGCAGAGCGTCCACACTGCAGTGAGGCCAGCCCAGCGGTGGGGGTGTCGGGGCATGCTTCTGTCCAGCTACAGCTGACCAGTGTTCCCAGACAAACTAGGCCGATTTACGCTCCCTGAGGCGCAGGCACTATCAATGCCACCTACTGATCCAGCTTGACCCCAGTCTTAGCCACCTTTTGAAGGCTCCCGAATTGCTGGCATGAGCCTGAGAGGTGAGGCCTCCCCACCCCTCCACTTGCCTTAGGGAACCCTGACAGCCCTGCTCACACAGCTGAGGTACAAGGCTGTGGGCCTAGTGCCACCCCTCACTTCCAGAGCATCCCCGTCCCCCTGCCCCACTGCTCACCTGGGATGCTGGTGCCACCCTCTCCTACTCATGCAGGAGTAGCCCTGAAACCACAGACGTGCCCACTCATGGGCCACCCCACATCTGAGACCCCAAACCTCTAGACAACATTCAGACCCCACAGAGTGGCAAAGCCTCAGCCACCCTGAGCTCAAGCCCCAGCCTGCCGTCCAACCGCAGTCGCCCTGGGTGAGGAAGCCATTCCACGGGACTCGGTGTCCTCGCCCAGAACTGGCGTGGCGCCAGGCAGAGGCTGACCTGGGCAGACTCTGCAGGGAGAGGGCCTCCTTCCCTCGCCTCCCCACACTGTGGCTGTTGCCTCGACAGCCTGCACGCTTCCGACGCAGTGGGGGCCCAGAGGGGGTGGCCATAGCCCAGGCGTGGAACAGCAGAGGGACCAGGCATGGCGATGGGGCCAAGCTCACTGAGATAGCCCCACACTGCGCCTAAGAGGCAGAGCTCTCAGCACATGTCCAAGATTGCCCCCAACAGCTCCGGCCCCGGTGGGTGCCAGACCCCAAAAGAGGCTGGGGTGAGGGGCAGCTTGTAGGCTCCCCACCCTGCCCCACCCCACCTACCTCTGCCCTGCCGCTCAGAGGGTATCCAGGGCTAGATCGGGGGAGACAACAGGGAGAAGGGGCTGCAAATCCCACGGGCTTGGGGGACAGGATGGAGGTCCCATTGATAAAAAGGCAGGGGCCGCCTCTTGAAGCTGGGGAGGAACTGCAGAGATAAAAATAAAACCCCAGGTTGCCCCGAGGTCAGTCGGGGCCCAAAGGCACCCAAGCCACAGGCAGGATGTGCTCTGCACAGGGGGCCTGGGCAGGGGGAGGGGGGGCCAGGTGCAGGCCTTGCAGGGAGGGGCGGACAGAGGCAGCAGCTGCGCTGGCTCCGGAGCCAACCCAACAGGACCAGCGGCATCCTGACAGTGGTGCCGCTGCTGTGGGGGCTCCTGCGCTGTGGGGCTCTCAGCAGCATTCCTGACCCCTCCTTGTTGTAATGGCTCCACTGTCACCACCAAAACTGTGTGCACACGTGGCTGAGTGCCCAGTTAAGAACCATAGCTCTGGAGGAGTCATGAGGCGGAGTGGCGTGGAGCCCACAGGCAGCCTGCTTCCTGGGCCCCCTCAGCTGGCACCCATCCCAGGATGGGAGAGGAGGCCCAGGGCCCTCGGCCAGCTGACAGCCTCCAGGCATCTGGGCCTGCAGGTCGCTGCACAGGCTGCCAGTTGCACCCCCAGAATGCACAGCCCAGCCAAGCTCCTGAGGAAGACGGAGGCTTTGTTCCCAGATGGCTAACAACCCAGATCCCATTTCTCCTCCCGCCAGCCAGGGAAGGGTGGGGTGAGCCATGGGGCAGCTACTGCAGCAGGCGGGAAGGAAATACATGGAGCAGCTGCTCAGCAGCTGTGGGTGCTGGCCAAGGGCACCACTGGCAGGCAGAGGTCCTACTGGGAGGCCCAGCGGGACTGAGGCCGGAGGCACCAAGAGGGCACGGTCCACTGCACACCAGGAAGGCTCCACTGCCAAAGCCCTGCCCTCCCCCACCAAGCTGGGGAAACTGAGACCCGGGAAGGCTGCCTGGGATCCCAGCCATCCTGGTCCTCAGCCCAGACCCCAAGGGCTGCCAGCAGCCCAACCGCTGCCCACTTCCAGCCACCAGCAGAAGTGGGCCTGTACCCTTACAGACCTCAGGCCCCATCCAGGTCACAGCCAGCTCCACCATCCTCAGGGTCCCCGTACATAGCCCCTCGGTGGGCCCGTATCCCGATGCACAGGAACACAGGCAGGCCTGCTTACCTGGCAGGCTGGCACCCTCAGGGCAGGGCCCACCTCATGCCCTGAGGCAACATGGGGTTACCACCTGGTGTGTTCCATTCCAGAGACTGCTGGAAAACCCTGCTCGAGCCCTGAGATCTGCCTCACTAGCAGGGAACTAAAACCCAAGCTGGAGACCCACTTCTGACAACACAAGGAGCCACCACAGCCTGGTGGGGAGGGAGGGTGTGAGCAGCACAGAAGCCCCCATTCTCCTGCTCAGGAAAGATGCCCAGCTGCTATCCTGACTCTGACATCAGAGAGCAAGGCAGGCGCTGTGCATGACAAGTCTCACCCTGTTCACGGTACCCCGAGCAGGCTGCCCGCCCACAGCCTGGCCCTGCCAACCTGGGTGCAGAGGCCCATGGCCTCTCCAGACCCCACCATTCATCTAAGATGCTCTCCACCCTGGAGAACCAGGGATAGTGGGGGCCCCGGGCTCACTCACACAAAGTTCCAGGGCTTCCCGGCTCCATGAGCAGTTCCCTTCCTCAGCCCGGAACCTGCCAGAGCACATCCCTTCGTGACTTGCCTCCATGCCACCTGCCTCAGGGTGCTAGGAAGTGGTACAGGCCACGAAGCCTACAGCAGGCCAGGGGTCCCCAGCCCTAGCTGAGCAGGGTGGTTGAGGGCCACTTGAGGCCCAAGTCCTACAGGGCACTGTCCATCATCTCTGGGGGCACCAGGGCCTTTCCGCCTCCCTCCCCTCCCGTCTCCCCAGTGAGGCCCTCTCTGGACCCACTCATCAAATATAACCTAACCAGACCTCACCTCAGCCTGGGCACTCCCTGGCCCCTAGCACTGTCCCTTGGCATCTAAACCACCTTGTGTGTGCTTCAAGGGCCTGTATCCAACAGTGGGCCTAAGAGGAGAGCTGAGCCTGTTCACAGCTACTGCCACAGCACACAGTCCTGAGCAGGGAGTCTGTCATTCCTGCAGGCCCAGCACCACTCTGGGGCCCTCATGCCTCCTAGGTCATCAGAGGCTGGTAGGTATCTGGGGTTCTCAATCCCAAGATAGCTCACAGTAAGTGGAATACAGGCCAGGCCGGCCAAGCTCTCTCAGTATTTATTACAACAGGTCACCAGCAGTAACAGGGGCAGACAGAACACTAGACTCATCTGCTTTTCAAGTAGATCTTGGGAGTCTGCCAGCCTGCAGGGGCTTCTTTCAGGCCTGCCTTAAGCCAGATGCGCCTCAGGTCTCTCTCGAACTTCATCTGTAAAGGCAGAAGGAAGGACCACCCGCTTGTGGCACAGCCGTATCTCGCAGCCACCTTGCCCCACCCCAGGCGCCCGTGTTTACCTGCTTCCGTTTCAGGCGTCCTTCCCGAACCTTCCTTCGCAGGAACCGGGTCCTCTTGACCAACTTGCGGTACTTATGATGATTCATTTTCCGCCGGCGGATCTTCAGTATGTTTTTGCACTGCATCCAGGATGCATCCCAGACCCCCTCACCCCCCTGCTCAGCACCTTCCCCTACCTGGCTAGGGGGACACTTGTAAAGCTGGGCTGAAGCTCCAGCATCCAGTCTGGGAAGGAGGTAGCGGGCAGTCAGCCAGCTCTCCAGAGGGCTGATGGACATCTTCCTGGGGACCAACATCTGCTCGAGCTCCAGCTGGATCCCCCTGCCGGGGAGGGAGGCAACCCCGCTTGGGCCTGTTGGCTGTGTGCTGCAGCAAGGCCTGCAGGCATGGCTGCCCAACACTTCCGAGACAGGCCCCAGACGACTGCAGCCTACAGGAAACAGGACGGCGGTTACCGCGCGGGGGCCGCCCCAGACCTGAGCACGGCTGCAGGGCCTGCCCGGACTGGGGCACAGAACGTTCACCGCGCACGTTCTCAGGCCCAGATCTCCCGTTTGTGACAACTGGACATTTACAGGGGAGCTCGTGTGGCGAGCCCCTGCCTCCAGCTGGTGAGGCACAGCACTGGGGGCACCTGGGCTGCTTAGCCCCACGTCCCCAGCCCAGGTGTGTATCCCGCCCAAATGCCCTGCCCCACGGGGCCTCATACCTGCCCGGGGAACGACCCTGAGCAGCTGCGAGGTCAGGCGCGCCAGAAACATAGCCTGCGGGCGGCGGGGCGGCGCCAGGTGCTCAGGGGAGCTGGAACACAGGTGCGCGTGGAGGTGGCGCGAGGGCGGCCGGCCGGCCGGCGCCCGCAGCAGCCCCGGGCACGGACTCCGCATCCCGGCGCCTCCTCACCCCCTCCCGCACCGAGAGCGTCACCTCACACACGGATCGCTCCCCCTCGCCGCCGCTGCCGCGGCCCGCGGCCCCCGGCCCCGCCGCGCGACCCGCCCCGCACCTCAGCTTCACCCAAGACTCCCACGGCGGGGGCGCGGGGAGGGCGGTCCCGACGCCTCGAGCCTTACCAGGGCGCAACCCGCTCGTCTCTCTCCGGACCCTGCACGCCGCGCGGAGCGTCCCGCGCACCTCCCTGGACCGGAACCAGGGGACTCAAACTGACATCCCGACGGCGCTCTCGGCACTTCCGGCCCGTCCCTAAACCGACCCCCCAGGCACACGTGAGGCCGCCCCTAGGTTCCTATGCCAGCGCCCCCTGGCGCCCTGCCGGCGTAGGCTCCGCTTCGACGCAGGGCACGGAGATCCCGGAAAGCAGCTGGTTGTGTCCTGAGAAGCCGTCCGCCCCCGCCCCCGCCCCGCCCCCACCCCGCCAGCCCCGCCTCTCTCCTACAGAGGCCACACAACTACACTTCCCACAATCCCCAGGGACTCCCTCCGCTGCTGCGTGACCGTAACTCGCGCCGCGTCGCGACCGAAAGCCAGCCTGCAGAGGAAGCCGGAAGTAGCGTTGTTCCGGAGACGGAAGTAGAGTTTCAGGGGTTACGGAAGGGGCCGGGGCTCCCGAGCTGCCGCGGGTGAAGGTGACGGCGGCTCGGGCCGGCTCCAGCTCTGAGCTCGGAGGCCAGGAGTGCGTGCCATGTCGGGGGCCGGGGCACCGTCAGGAGACGCTCTGCGGGGCCCTTTCTATTGCCTTCGCAGTCTCCTCTCCGCCAATCCGGATAGTGGAGGCCCAGCGTCTGACAAGGACGGCAGGACGCTGTTGGCGTTGAATTTTTCTGCCTTTTTAAAAGCAAATACGCTCCATTCTGTACCTGTGCAAAGAAAAATGGGAAACGGCTTTGTCCAAAAACCAGAAGTCGCCTCCGCCTTCGGTCTAGCTAAGCCCCAGTGCCGTTCCTCAGGCCAGGGAGCTTCATCTCTAGTGCAGAAAGGTCCCGGTGTTCCCGCTGAGATTACCAAGGATGGACGGGATCCCTAAAATGGACCTTGGGCGCTTGGTGGGAGAGGTATGTGGGCAGGGGTTGCCCTGAGGGATCCCATCGACTCTGCCAGAGGCTTGCCCTGCAGGAGGAACTTCTTCCAGCGAGTCTTAGCAGGAAGTGGCCACACTTGGCTGTCCCTGGGTGCCAACCTGGCTAAGCAAAGAGTGGGGGCTAGGTCACTGGGGCCCGGGCCCAGCTCTACAGCTGAGATCACAACTTCCAGAAGGGCTGCTCCAGGCTCCCAAGGAGGAAGGTCTATCAACATGTCTGCCAGTCGGCCTCACTCCAGCTGCCCAAGCCTCCCCAGAGTGAGCCGCCTGGATAAACAGGTGCTGACCCTGCCACTTTCACATCTCGCTGGCTGTACTGATCAGCAGGCACCTTTCTCCAGGCCCAGTGGTAGCACGGAGGCCATGCCCAATTGCCTCCCACTTGCACAGAAGTGCTGTGCTGGTCTAGGAAAAGCCACACTTGACATGTGTTCCCCCAGGCAGCCCTCGATCCTCACAGAGCACACGCAGAGCCAGAACAGCCCCAAGGCCCGCCCAGCTCAGCCGCCACTCACTCGGAGGGGGGACACTCCCAGGAGTGACCCTCCGGGTGCCTCCTTCCTGGCTGCAACCCGCATGACACTCACATGCTATCCCTTCCTTGGGGGCCCTTCAGAGCCATTCAGTCCTCTCCAGACCCTTCCTGCTTGACTCCCAAGAAAGCAGCCTTTGTCAGAACACGGGCTTAGGCCCAACACAAGCCTTCCACAGGAGAGCAGCCACACAGGAGCTCAATACAAAAGCCAACACTTTAATGAGATTAGAGACGGCAGCGCAGACACCACTAGAACGGGTACTGCGGGCTGGGCACGGTAACAAGCAAGCAGAATGACAGACTGCAAATCCTTTCAATGTTCCAAATGTCCTGAGTAGAGAGAATTGTTTATTTAACCACATAAAATGCATATATAGGAAACTTCTCTATTGAGGAGCTGGTGGCCTGCACTCAGCATCACAGATAAAAATATACGACTTTCAACACAGATCTAAATACCTTCACATTTTAAAAATCAGAATTCTCTACACAAGTTTTAAGCTGACAAAGTTCAAGTTCTCAGTTTTCATATATAGCTTTAACTTGTATTAAACATGTTTATTTACAACACGGATAGAGAATAAGGGGCTATTAAGGCCATTTTCTCATTGTGAAACACTGTAAAATATGTACATAAGTACAACCTAATATAGGCAAAGGTTCTGAAGGTCATTTCCTTGGCTCAACATAATTGAGTAACGGCACGGGAGTGAAGGGACAGCCCATCATTAGCACCAAGCCACACCACCGGGACATGTACATCTGCTGCCTATCCATCCGCCGCAGGGCTGCTGCTGAGGTGGGCCCTGCGCCAGCTCGGTGTGACTGTGCCCAGGCCGGCCTAACGGCACCTCGCCGGCCTTGATTCCATCTCAAAATTCATCACAAGGTCCAGAGTCAGGAACCATTTCTACAAGAGTCACACTGCAGGGCCATCAGGCTGACGGTCAAAGGGCAGCCCCTAGGACCCCTGCACCTCACCTCCGATGCCTGCTGTGCCCAGGGTGGTCCCGCTCATAACGATGGCCTGTGCGCTCATAAGACCGTGATCGCTCCCGATGTTGATCTCTGTAATAATGACTCTTTTTTTTGTACTTTCCAGAATTATCTGCCCGCTCCCGTGAGTGGCTTCGAGAGCGGGAGGAGCTCTGGCTCCGAGACTTATGTGGCTTCTGGGCGGAGTACTTGCAGTCCTTGGATTTCCGGTAGCTCCTCACCTTGGGGCCTTTGTAGGGAGCGCCTCGGTGTGCCTGTCTTGGTGGGGAGTCACTCCGGCTCCGAGAGCGGCTCTGTGACTTGGAGCCACCAGACGTGGAACCACTGTCACTTTTCCTGTGAGGAAGGGCAGCACAGCCAAGCAGATGATCACCCACCCTGACCACCTCAAGGTTGGGAGTGACTGTCCCGAGGGGTGGCCACATCACCTCCAGCCACCCTGGGCACAACCCCCACCACCACCAGGTAGAGGCCCCCAAGTGAGCTCTGAGCAGCACACACCTCCTCTTAGGAGAGGCAGATCTTGATGGAGACCTTGAGAAGCTCTGCTCACGACTCCTGCTCCGACTCCGACTTCCACGTCCCTTTGGCAAGCTGAGAACAGGGTGGGAGCAATCACAGACCCAAAGTCTCTCCCGCCAACCCCAGGAGCCCGCTGGGGCATGCGGATCACTCACCCATTCACCGGGCTGTCGGTCTTGGCTCTCTTCGCAGCCTCCATCTTCCTCTTGGCACTCTTCACAGAGAGTGGGGACGCCTTGTCCCCTTTGCCTTCCGCTTTGGGGGACTCCGCTAGTATCAGGTACAAGAAGTCAGACCTGACCATTAGAAGACTGTTTTCATAAGAAACATGTTAGAACAAGACGCTGCCACTTCTACTGATGGAGACACATGCTGATTCTAATTCCCTGCTCCCAGCCTTGGACTCAGAACCTAAACGTGCATTCGCAATGCACAGAAAGGCCACTTGCCCTGCTTGCCTTCCAGCATGGTCTGGGAACAGGCACCATGCTTAACTCTAGGATCTGACAACAGAACCTACTGCCCATGATTTATAAAAATGTTCACCGAAAGACAAGCTAATCGGGTAGGCTGGGGGAACAAAAGCATTTCAGAACGACTGTCCATACCCCTTGCCCATGAAAATACAGAAATGATGAAAATGAGCTCCTCCAGGAGCCTGTTTCAGCTCAAAGGTCACCAAATGCTCAGACCAGCTAGACACACACCCAAGAGAAATCTAGAGGAAAGATGAGTCATCCCTGCCTGCAGGAAGCAGACTCACACCGACACCCACCCAGCTTGGGGACAGGCGAGAAGCCTGAAGTGCCATCCAGAGCCTGGGTGCCTCCGGGCAGCAGGCCCTTAGCCTGTGCCTTCGCCTCCTCAATGGCATGTTTTCTCTTTTCCACTTCACTTTCCAAGTGTGTCACATCAACCTAGGAAAGTCAAAATCCAACTATTCAGAACTGGATGCTTCTAGTCAAACACAAATGCACATATTACATGAAAAAACCAACCTTTTTCCGAGTATAAAGCTGCAGGATTTTTAAGCAGATTTCTTGAATTTCTTCTTCAGTTGCTCCAAACAGAAGAAACCAATGGGGACGATTGGGCAAAGGGATCTATAAACACAAATGCATCACTGGCATACTTTTCTTCACAGCAAAAAAAAATTCTCAGGGCAAAAAACAACCCTGTCGGTCACCAAGTCTTGGCACCACTGAGCACAATTTCAAGAGCACTACATAGATTTACTGGAGGTTGGGGAAAGCATCAGACTGGACACCCTGTGGTGGTGCAGCACTGACCTCCAACGTCCGGGCAGCCAGATAGATGCAGGCACAGGCGATGCTCTCAGGCTGGAACCTCACGAAAACATCTGTGCGAAGGCTGTCATTCATGTAATTCCTGAAAGCCAAGCACAACACCCTGAAAGACTGCAATGCCCAGAGCAGCCCAGAATTCCCACCTACACCACCTAGATGAGCATCACCCCTTATCTAAGTAGTCTAAGCCAGGACTTAGTGCCAGACAGTCCTGGGAATATCAAGACTTCACGGAGAAACATTCTAGCTGCCTTTTCCGAATATAGAACAGGAAGACAGGGAAATTACTGAAAATTTTTAAAAAGCTGGCTGAATGTCAGACAATCTGTGTTGCTATGAAAGAGAACCGACTTTAACTTTACTTTTCCCTCTCAGCTTTTGGCCTCTCATGCACAGCACAATGCCTCAGAAAGAAAATGTCTACTGTGGTGGTTAAAATGTACTTGATTATCAAGAACGTAAATGCTCAAAATCCATAGTGCAGAGAAACATGCAAACTCAATGAACTGTGAGCGGGGGGCCCACGAGGGCCTTTCTGAGACAAGCCGTCCTCTTGCACCCCATTTCCTCGAAGAGGCGCCGAGGGCCTGGCCCTTCTTCTTCCAGGAGGGAGCCCACTCGGAGGGGAAAGTGCCCTCGGGCGGGGAACATCATGCAGAGGAAGGCTCAATGCCCAGAGGGAAGTCCTCTTCTCAGGCTCATCAAAGAACCATTTCCAAATTGTCCATTTCAATATGGAGTGGAGTCTTAAAATGAATATTCATAACATCAGACAACAGCGATAGAATACAAGTTTCATCACAGTCAGTACATTTAAAGAATTTTATCATACTTTAGAAGATATAAAAATACAAAACATTTACATTTTTGAAAAAGTTAAGGTGTTTCTTAATTGGCTAAGTTTTTAACATTTTCTTTATATTTCTCTAAGATTTAACAGACCAAAATCAGATCTTATACTAACTTTATCAACATTGCAAAGAAAAAGAAAAAAAAAATGCCATGAGAAAACAGTTGAATTAAGTCATATATTCACTGCTCCTTATATATCCCAATTATGGCAAGCCTTCGAGCCAGGCTGCACCCACAGATGAGCCAAGTTATGCCATGATTTGAATGATACACCACCCCCTCCCCAACGACTACCTTTGCCCAAACCCCGGAGAAGGTGACATACAAACCCTCTCAGAGATTTCTCAACAATAAATTCTACGTATGCCAACTAGCAGCACCTGGCTCTGAAGCACTTGTTCCAGGCATCCAGACGTAATCAAGAGAAAGCCTGTGTGAGGACACCAAGACCCACATCCCAGGGCATTCATTGCAAGTCAACAGTTCAAACATTCTAAAACATGACCATCAGTAACTTTTTTTGGTCCTAATAAAAAGTTTTCAGTACTCAGTAATATTAATTCGTTAACTTTTAAATCCTAAAAACAAATGAAATCCTCAAAACAAATTTAAGCTTACTGGCATATTTGAAATATGTTACAAAAAAAGTCCATTAAATAATTTAAAGATGCACACCTTTTACTAGAATGTGTCAACACTTAGCTGCTGAAAAGAGCAACTTTAGGACTTCCAGAAATAACCACATAATCCCATGCTGAAGTCTGAATCCCCATCAGCCAATTCTTAGAGCTTTCTGTAGGAATTTTTTTTAAAGAGAAAGGTATTGCATCTTTATTGCACAGGTACAGCAGTTTATAAGGGACAAAATTCAAGTCAAGACATTTATCAACTCTAATCAATACAATTACCAAAGCACAACAGGATTAACAAGAAGCACAGCCGCCAGAACCGCAGCAGCAGTGGGCCAGCACTACACTACCGCGCGCATACCACCGTCTAGAGCCGGCCTTCGGTGGAGAGCCTGCACTGCGTTGGCTGAGGACGGCCGCTGTCCCTGCACCAAAGCACTTGGACAGTAGAGGAGAAGTCTTAGTCACTTACCCTCAGAGGCTACCCTTTGATTGAAAGAGTACAGAAAAGAAAAGTCAAAATGGGTTCTCTGTTAGGCATGGCATAGCACCAGACAACTCAGGCGGCAACAACGCGACCCTGCAGACTGACTGAGGACTCACCCAGCACCCAGCACTGAACTGTTACTCCGAGCTGCGTTTCTAGCATACAGATGGTTCAAACCAATCCCCAGAATTGCAGAAAGACTTTATCCCCCACCCCACACCTTTCTCCCGCAGGATTCTTTAATCAAAGCAGTTAAAAGTTTCCCAGGAGGTAAGACACCACTAAGTCCACACTGGCGCCTGTGCAAAAATCCTGACGTGCCAAGTGAACAGCCCACAAAGGGAAGCCCCCTGACTGCTCTCTTCAAGAAGGAAGGTATGGGCCACCTTACCGTTGAGGCCAGTGCCTGATATTTTGGGAGGCTGGTTGGAATTTACCCGGCAGGAACACTGGGCACTCAGACAACTCTAGCCCACAACAAAGTCATGGACCGACTAACCCTGCCCAAGTGCTCAAATGAACATCTGCATGCCCTTGCTGGTCTCAAAAAACAAAGAATTCAACTCACCATGAGGTCTGGACCAGGTGCTGGTTACGCTCACATTCTAACACCTGAAGGTACATAACGATTATCTGGAAGATACAGGTCAGGCCGTTATTACCAAGAACCTCGAGAACCTGGAATTCAGATATTGAGGGCATCCGTGCAGCAAATAACAGCCTCATGCTCAGCCCCAGAGTGGCTCCTGCTCCACAGCGGCTACACGGCTCAGCTGGAGAGGGGATTTTGCTGGCGCTCCTGCTACCTGCTTTGCAGCAGGCAGCGCACTGATGGGAGGAAGGCCTGGTTTCCCACAGCCAGCTCATGGCCAATTTTCACTGTCATCTTCGACATTTTCCACAAGTGAGATTAGTCTGCCCTAAACACCACTACCCAGTAACCAACTCACACAAAAAGTGGTTTTAAAAGTTTCAGCAAATGAAGAAAAGCTCTTATGTGTACAGTGAGTGATTTACCAAGAATTTGAATACAAGAACGTCAAACAAGCAAGAAGATGTGAGAAAACCCTCCAATAAAAAGGGGATGGAAGATGCAAATAGTAACCTCATTTTAAAACAAGTTGTGTTGATATGCAGCTAAATGGTGCCTATGGTTATTATACATCATATGTGCTCAGCTACTACATGCTGCCAAACTGCTTTAGTTCATTTCCAAACACAAGGGTTCAGAATCCTCCCAAGTCCCCCATAGGGGGAAATAAGGTTATTACTAAAACAACTTTAGAAAATTGGCTGCTGAGAAAATAAATTCTCAACTGACCAATTCCATTTTTAGAAGTTCATTACTACTTTTGAAAGCTCGAACTTAAAGACACTATTTCCAAAACTCTTAAAACACACTACTAAAAAAAGAAAAGAAATAATATAAAAGGCTAACAACTAAAGAATTATCTTCAAATTCTAGATTAATTTGGAAAACCAAGTCAGGAACACTGACTCGTCTTCAGTTTCCAGCCTCAAGGAGAAAGGAGCAGTGACTCAGACAGGCTCATACCCACCTTGTGAGGGTGCTTCACGTGGACGCAGAAACCCAGCTCTTTGAGAACTCGCCTTTCTGCCTTTATGATTTGGTTCTTTAAATTAACATAATCTTGATCCAACAGCAGAGGCACAGGTTTCCTACAAAGACAAAGCTCATGGTTTGCATTAAGGGTCAAATAAAAGTCTTTCAAAGCCCATGATGGCCTCCAAATGATGGGACTATGCTATGAACACAATACAGATGCAGCTAAAAGTTCATTTCTTTTGGCAAACAAAAACACAGTCTCCCCCAAACCCCAATGCTACCCTACGTGTCCCCTTTCAACACTGTTCCCCCCTTTTCCTTACAGAGCGCTCCCTAGTGCATAAATACTGACTGAATACAGCAGAGGTTCTCAAATCTCATCACTGAGTACTAAATGCACTATGTCTAGCCCAAGACATATGTGTGCATGTCGAGAATGAACGGAAAACCAAAGAACTAATAGAAGCACATCGGCACAGCTGAGGCCATGTTCTCCAAAGGACAACCATTAGCTTTAGGAAGGTCAAGCCTGGACTAAGGTCTAGTCAGGTTCTCAATCAGGCAATTCTGCTACCAAAGGGCCATGCCTGGAGACTTTTTGTTGTCACTACCAAGGAGGAAGCTCTTTAGAGACCAGAGATATTGCCAAAGAGCCACCAATACACAGGACAGACCCCACAACACAGAATCACCCAGCCTGAAAACGCCAACAGTGCTGAGGCTGAGAGCCCAGTGTAGGGGATTTGGAGACTGACACAGCCCCACAAGGGCTGATGCCGGCAGAACGGCAGCCACACTGCCATCCTGATTGTTCCCTGCACACTTTCAGCAGTATCTGCTGGGGACCCTGGGCACCTGGCCCTCTTCTGGGTACAACCTCACCCTGAATTTTGTTCCAGAAATGTTAATGTAACAATAACCGTAAAAACAAGGAGACAAACGTTTTCGAGAACTCTATTATAAAGACTCACTTTTTCTCTCTTAGATGTCGAAGGCGATGAAACACATTGATGACGTCCCGTATCCTTCTTGGAGCCTCTTCTATTTTAGAGGCCAGGTGAACACAGGCCATTGACACATGCTGAAATGTAAGCATCGTAACACACAGATGTTTGTTCCAATCACGATGGGTCTCCAATGGCTTTCAAGGGGCACTAAGAGCAAAGAGCTGCACCCACGGAAAAGGACATTTGGGAGAACCCACTCTACAGTGCAAGGGCTTCCCATCCCCCAAGTATGAAGCTCTGACGAGAGAGAAGGCAAGTGACTCGTTCCTCTAAGCAAACTGGCAAAACAGGACACCAGTTTCCTCTCAACAGAGACACAGGGGCACGACCGTACCTCCATGGAGTGCTTCACAAAAGACTTGGTATAGAAGAACCGCTGGAACAACACCTGTCCGGTAGCCATAGCCACCTAGGAAAGGGTAAAGTTTCCATCACTTACTTTTACACGTGCATTTCAAATGGTTCCCAATTAAGTCACTGGGTTTTGTGCGACTCCTGACACAGAACAAAACCCCGGAACGCTTTCCGCATCCTGGAATGGCCCCCGCCTCGCCGCTCCCACCACCTCTAGCGCGGGGCTGGGGCGTGTGGCGGTGAAGCGCCGCCTCCGCCCCATCCCAGGCGGGGACAAGCACCGGGGACAAGCAGCAGGGTCGGGGGTCCCGAAGGAGACAAGGAGCGGGGTCGGCGCTGGGCCCAGCCCCGCGGCCAACAAAGGGCCCGGCCGCCTTCCCGGGCGCCGGCGCGGCTGGTACCTCGGCCCGAGGCTCACGGCCGCTCCCTCACCTGCGGCAGGCGGAGCAGGATGCCGGCCGCCTGGATGAGCTCGCAGCCCACCACGCGGAGGTCTGTCTCCGTGTCGGTGTCGAGGCCACTCGACATGGACGGCGTGAAGCGGAGCTTATCGTCAGGCAGGAGACAGTTCTCCAAGGTGATGAGCACCCCGGAGTACAGCCGGTCCCCGATGAGCATCCCCTGCGACCCGGGAGCTGCGCTTCCCGTGCCCGGGGCTCCGGCTGCGGCCGCGGGTACCGTCGGCCCTGGAACTCCGGCCGCGGCCATCGCCGCCGCCGCCGCCGCCGCCGCCGCCATTTTGTGCCGCCGACTACCCTTCGGGCTCCTTCCCCACAGGGCGGCTCCTCGCGACGCTGAGGCCGCGACCGCTCCGCCCCTCTGCGTGCCATTGGCTCGACCGGAGGATATCCGTATCACAATTGGCTGAGCGTCATGCCCGTCAGCGTCGAGGGTGCACCGCCCCGCCTCCCGCGACGCCGGAACCCGGCGCGGGCGAAGGCGGGCGCGTTACCCAGGGGACCCCGCGATGTCAGTCTCGACCCGGAAGCACTAGTAGAAGTTCCGGTCACAGGCTCTCTTTAGAGTCCGGTCCTTCTTGGCGCGCCTACTCTTTCTACACGGAGACCCAGGAGGTTGCGAGGCTCCAGCCCCCCAAGGCTTCTAGGGCTCCGGCCGCTTCCGAGGGTGTCAGTGGGAGGCCTGCGGGCGGTGGGTGAAGGGCTGGCCCGGGCGGCAGGGCTGGGCGGGCGACCCTTCCTCCCGAGGGCCCGTGCTTGGGTGGCCAGGCCTCGGGTGGAGGGTCGCGGGTCTTGGAGGCCTGGGGCGGTGCCTGAGGGGACGAAGGGATTAGCGCTCGCGCTGGTGCGTTGTCCCCAGCCCACGTCCGGCAGCGAGATGCCGTTTGCCTGTGTCGCAAAGCGTCGGCTTGTGGTCATTCCTCTCCAGGCCTCACGGAGTCAAAGCCTCCGGGTAGATATGAACGTTATGTTCCCTAAGCTTTTGCCTTCAGCATTGAGTTCACAGGGAAGAGGGGTGGCTGCAAAGCCGTGGGCCGGTCCTGTGGAAGGCAGGAGCTCCTCCAGGGATGGGGTGGGACGGGACGGGCTTTATCTTACGAACAGCGGGCAGCCGTGAGGGGCTAATGCACGAGAACCTCCTGTCTCCACTGGCCCTTCATTTCATTACACCAGGCGCTTTCAGCGTTATGACTGCCGGTCTCTGGTGGTCTTAGGCACCTGACGGCAGCGCTGCTGTTGCCTCTGGGAGAGTAGCTGATGCCGTCTTGCTGTGCATTTACCCCCCACTTGTGGGCATCTGCGCCTGGAGAGGTCTCTCCCTGCGCACTAGGTGAAACCTCAGTATGGACGGGGAGGGTTCTTGACTCTGTTCGACAAAGAATTCGCTTAACAGGTTGGATGAGTGTAGGTAAGGGAGGAAGGAATTAAAGCGAGGGTGATAGTGAATGGCAGCAGACACAGGCAGAAAGCAAGGAAGAGAAGAGGGAGGAAAGAGAAGGTGGTTGGACTCCAACTTTGCATAGGGCAGATCACTTGCCAGCTCCTGAAGCCAGGGCCACCTGGTGTCCAGTGTCTGCTTGAATCTGCATGGCGTGGGAACTAAGCCCCACCACCCCAGGACTTGGGGGGAGCCGCAGAGCACTGGGTGGAGTGAGGTTATGTTCTGAGAACTTACAAAAGCAAAGATTTTTCGAGCAGGCTACTAAAGAGCATGATAGCACAGCTGCAGTCCGGGTCACCCAGGCCACTGGCACTTGCAAGCTCAAATCAGAGAACTCAGGAGCCCTTCCCTACCTGTCTGAAGTAGGGCAGAGAGTGTGAAGACTTGTGCTTCAGCCTGTAAGACGGAATGAAATAGTGAAGTAGCTCTTTACCACCGGAGGTGGGGGTTCACGAGTTCATCTTTATCATGAAAAAGAGTTCAGAGACAAGTGCGATTGGCTTATTCAGCAAGAGTTTATTTGAAAAACAGTTCACACTCAGATGGAGTGCAGGCAGCCTCAGAGGAGGCATGCTTAAAGGTTTAGTATTTGGGTTTTTAGGATTTCAAGAATGGGGTAAAGGGCCAGGGGAGCATAGGCTGACATCTCCTGGTGTCAGTCTCTGGTGACATTATGTCACCATGCAGTCAGTCCTCTATACACTCCAAGGAATGTGTTGATCCTGTTCTTCCTCAAGATAGTGGTGACCGTCAAGCAGCAGGGACATACCATTTAGGACTGCTCACCTTACCTTAATATAGGGTCAGTTGTTGGTCAAACACCATATGTTAGGAATCTTACATCATAACTCCCTGGTTTTTAAAATGGAATCTTAGGTTTAAGGTGGAGTCCCTCCTGTTCTCACTATATTACTTATATTTCTGCATTTTTCATCATAGGAAAAATTCATCATGACACTTGTCCCATATCCCTGCTCTACCTCACTTTCACCAGGACCAGTGCAAGAACTCCTGTGGTCCTGGGTGGGGACAGGCTGGGACACTTGGAGCGACCAATGGCTACACCCAACGCAAACCTGCTCAGACAGAGGCTGCCAATGGTTTTGATGCCTGGCGAGAGGACCCTGTGGTTCCATATCAACTAGGACCAATATTGCCACCTCATCCCCTGAGTGGGCGACATGATTCCGTGCCCTACCTGCCCCGCTCCCAGGCTGGCAGCTCCAGGATGTCCTGTCTCTGCAGGCTACGGCACCACACTTTGAAGGAAGAAGGAATTTCCCAGGCAACAGCTTGTTTCTCACTGGCCCTGCCTGGACTACTTGTCCATCCCCTGGACACTGACTGGCCAGAGAAGAAAAAACTGCTGGCCCAGTCATGACACCCAGGCCTGCATGAAGGGAAGCAGGTCTGTGGCCAGAGGGGGGAAGGCACTGGGAATATAGCCTATGGTACTTTGCCACATCTCCACGTTCCTGTATCAACAAAAAGAAAAAAGAAAAGGCAGCTCCCCCACAGCAGCACATTGTGCACATAGCTTGATCCCACACAGCGAAGGGCTCTTTGTATGTGCCAGTGTCTATTCAGCAGCTATCCAGTGATGCGCACATAGCAGCCCCTTTACCAAGTGCAGAAAAAGACTCAGCCCCACACCACCAACTCCATGATCTAGTGGCCATCATCAGACCTGGTGACAAGGGTGAGGAGGAGAGGCCTCTTAGGAGGCTGGGGTAGTAACGAGCCAGAAGAGATGCTGGCCTGCAGTGAGGACGGAGAAAAGTGGGCAGATCGAAGGACTGTCAACTGGTAGTTGGCCAGGATTTCATGGGGCTGGAGGTGGGTGTTGACGCCAAGGAAGGGACCCAGAATGACTTCCAGGGGACTGCTGGCAAAGGATGGAGGATAGCATCACCACAGGACCTGGCGTGAGCACAGGAGGAATGGAGGGAAGGTGGGCATTGCCAGATACGGGCAGAAGTCATCAGCAAGCACAGGACAACCGCTACCATGGCCTGAAGAGCTTTTTTGGAGCAGAGGATGTGAGAAAAGCTCTGGCGGGCAGAGAGCAGGTGAGGGCGCAGTGATGGGGAGGAGGGTAGGAAGTGGCCCTTGGGGGTCAAGAACCCCGGATTTTGGTTCTGGGAGATGGCTTCGGTGAGCTGCCTGAGCATAGTAGGGCCGGTTACAGAGCTTGTCAGGAGGTGACGGCTGGGGAACAATGCAGTGGAGAGGAAGGCGAGCGGATCCCAGCTCTGGAGGGAGCTCAAGATGTAAAGGAGAAGTACCGTGATTATCCAATCACTGTACTGTACATCGAAGCCAGTGTAATACTGCAATATTCCAATAAACATATTCCAATAAGACATACTCAAAGGAGAGAGGCTTGGGGGTGGAATGAGCCCCATAAGAGGGCAAAGGGTGCTCAGGACAGTGGAACGCCTCTGCATGGCAGTGGTCAGAGAAGAAAAGGGTGTAAGAAGGCTGAGGGGTGGCAGGGCTGCTATGAGGTGGTCCCATCGGGAGTGAGCATGTTGAGAAATCATTCCTGGACTTGGCTGTGAACTTAATGAGGTAGAACCCAGCCCACAGGGGCTGATCAAGACTAGATCAGGAAAGCCACCTGCCTAATGCCCTTACTGAGCTGGGAGGGTGGGAGGGAGACAGCAGGGATGATGAGGCTGGCACCCAGCATGGCTGAGGAGCTGAGCCACAGGGTACCTGCTGGAGACAAGAGGAGACTGGAGGGATAGAGGGTGAGGACAAGCACAGGCCAAGCCGGGGTCAGAGTTCAGCAGCCTGGCATAAGAGTTGCAAGAGGGGACCTCAGGCTCCGAGGAAGCACATGCATAGTTGAACCCTTGCCCTGGGCCAGTTGCACAGCAGCCAGCACTGGGCACCCAAAGTGTGTTTGCTTGATGCCAGAGAACTCAACTCAAAATGCTGACCACACAAACTTTATTCACACAATCTACGTGAGGTACTTCTGATCTGTTCCAATGAGGGAAGTCATAGCTTTTCTCTCACACCTGTTACTGAAATGAAAACAACTACAAACCAAACTTGCAAACTATTGACATAATTGTTAGCCCGTGTTAGTTACCGATCATCAGGGGGAAAAACGTTTTCTTAAGACACTCAGCCGCCCGGGGCAAGCCGTGCCAGAGCCTCTCAATGGTACCGCACCACTCTGGAAAATACACCTTCAGGTTCCTTCCCATCCCCCAAGGCAGCAGCAAAACCTTCCTGTCGTCGCCTCTGGGCCAGAGCAGCCAAAGATTTAAAAGTCTTTGGTTCATAGATGGCTAGATCCGCAAGCACTTTCCTGTTGAGCTCCACCTGGCACTGGGAAGAAAAATCAGAGCCCATGTCAGCGTCGGAAATGCATTCCCAAGAAACATGGGCAGACTGGATGCAGCCAAGTGTCCTATGGTTTGAGTCACCCTTGAGCATTTCTGCTAGCACATTCTACATGGCTCCAGGGCAGTCTCTACCCTCCCAGGACACGCAGTCTGTTTTGGTTAGTAGGTAGGGAGGGGAGAAGGGGAGTGATGAGTCTTGTCCAAGCAGGACACTGGAGAATAAAATGTGGACATAGACAATGACAAGGGGGAGGGCACCCTGCAAGAGGTGACGTGTGGAGGAGGCTGGCGTCCCATCCTGCTGCCAGCCATGGATCTAAACACCTTGCTGAGGTCAGTGGTCATCACCAGGCAGAACTATGATGGCTGACCTGGGGTAACCCTTTACCTCGGCTTCACGTGGACATCACAGTTCCCACTTTACAAACGATGGAATGAGACACAGAAAAGGTATGTGAGACACAAGTACAGGAACCAGGAAAAAAGCAGCATTCCCAAGTCCCACAGGAGAGCGGAACCAAGTCCTATCCAGTGAAACCACAGGCGACGCCAGAAAACCAACACAACTGCAGCGAGCCCGCGGGGCAACAGCAAGGCAGGATGCGTCTGCAGGTGAGCTGCAGCTGCGCAGGGCAGGCAGCCTGCTCTCCCCCTGGGACCCGTATGCCCCAGGCAGCCTGTGTCCTGTCTGAGCCCTGGTCCCCCTGGACTTTTAAAGAAACAATCTAAGTAATCCAGAGCATAGTCACCAGGCTCAACAGTTAAGATTTTATGACACATGCTTATCTAACCCCCAGGACAATCCCCACTTTCTGACTGTATGACTTCCAACTTTGTCAGCTACCACATCTGAAATCACTTAGTGTAAAAACTTAGAAATTAAAGCTTAAAGCTAAGTTTATCTCCTTTTCTCCCTTGATAGGGAAACACCACCAGGGCTCATGTCTTGGTATCATATGCCGTTTCCAATTCTGCTACCAGCAGGACAGGGGCAGAGCAAGTGCAGTGAGTCCCCACTGCACCAAGAACCAGAACAGTGTTGGAGTGCTAACACTCCCCTGCCTGTTCTGTTGGGCCACACCAGCTGGGCCAGCTCCTGTAGCCGTTCAACATCTCAAGAGGACCACATCCTCTACCATACCTTAACTAAGTTGATAATGAATGCTGGGTACTTCAGGCCATGTTCCTGGGATGCAGCTGTAATTCGATTAATCCAGAGCTGCAGTAAGAAAACATTGAGAAGCTTAAAAACTAGTTCTTTGTTATATCCATACTTCCCAACAAAGGTTCTGACAACTAAAAGGTTTTTTTTATAAAAGCAAATGGAAAAGTAAATTTTCTCTTCAGGCAAACAGGGAGCAAAGGTTGATGCTCTTCATCCAAATGTCAGCTCTGTCTAAATGAGGGACGTCACATGCTGTAAAGCATTAATTCAACACACAATTTTAAGCACCTAGAATACAAAGAGGAACAAAAGATTCTGTGCAGACGTAGCTCAAAGTACAGAAAGGGTTCATGTGGATGAATTATGACAGCTGCCAAGGGTAGGCTACCATGAGGGGAGATGTAACAGTCTTGGAAGAGCAGGCCTGGAGGGAGGAAGGAGGGGCCTCCAGAGGACATGGCTGCAAAGGCATCCGGGTCTGTTCTGGTCACAGCAAAAGGTCTGAACACTGTAGGGATCAAGGCTAGTTAGTGGGCACAGGCCAGGAAATAATCTGGATGAGTACAGAGATGGGGAAGCCTCTGAATGGATCTGGCCTCTCAAATGGGAACTGGCGGTGGGGAGGAGTGATCCCAGGAGGATTCTCATATGCCATTCTTTACTCGAACTTAAGAATCAAGCCCACTTTCTTCCTCTACTTAAGTGGTTTCCTAGTTCATGTTTGCATCAGAATTACCCAGAGACATTACAACAGAGATTGCTAGGCTCCACCTCCACTTTCTGATTCAGTAAGTGCAGGCAGGGCCTGAAAATCTGCACTGCTAATAAGGTCCCACAGGAGGCTGCTGCTGTAGTGGCAGCCACTGTGAGAACCTCTGTTCTCTGTAGCAGCAAAGGCGTGAGTGCCAGTAGGCACGGCTCCCAGCTCTTTGCAGGCACCTTTACAGTGACTGGATCTCACAGGGTCCTCGGAGGCAACACTATCTCTAACCCATTACGAGAAAGCAAAAGGCATAAACTAATGGGGACGCAGAAGCCCTCTGGCACACAGACCAACGGTGCAGACACAGTTTATCATGCCCTAACCCAGTGAATGAGATCGTTCTGATTTTAAAGGGTCCAAATTATGCACCCCCCAAAAATCACTCTGCCAATATTTACCAAGTGTACTCACCTAGGCCCTTGGTTATGGTATTCAATAGAACAGAAAAAAAAAATCCCACCTGAAACTTAGGTGAAAGGTCCAGGAGATGAACAATGAACCACCGACCAAGTAAACTGCATGGCATGCTGGCAAATTCAGGAGGGTAAGGGTGGTGAGGTGTTGAACAGAGCTCTCAGCCCTCCGCGACCAAGTTACAAACCGCGAATGCAAAGCGCTTGTGAGAGCCGGCCTGTCGTCTTGGGGGCGCTTATCGGAAGCCAAGAGTGGCCCCGGGGCACGTGGGTGGGTGGCCAGAGGCACCAAGGCTGTCTGGGTTCCACTTTCATTGCAGATGTGACGGGAAGCCGCCAGCGGGTTTTAGGCGGACGGGAGATGCGAGCAGCAGGCGCGAGGGTGGCTGGGCGAAGCAGGGAGGCCGGCTGTCACGGCGGCGCGGGCGAGAGGCGAGGAGGGAAGGGATCCGGGACCCGCCAGCTTCCGCGCGTGGGGCGGGCGGCGCGCGCGGCTTTGGACGGGTGGAGAGAGAGAAGCAAAGGACCCAAGGGCTGAGCTGCGGTTTGAACCTCGAACAGATGGGCCGGTGCAGACGCCTGCGGTGGACGGCGCGGGGAGGCCGAGGGCCGAGTGGTCCGGCCGGTCGCAAAAGCTCCCAGCTGTCCGCGCGGCAAGGGCGACCCCCGCCCGCGGCCCCCCGCCCCGCGCTCACCGTCCGCATGATCCTCTTCTTCAGTCTGCGGGCCCGCGTGCATTTCACAAACGCTCGGGTCACCGCTCTGACCGCCAACCGGTAGCAGCGATTCTTCCGTCCCCGGAAGTGCTGCGGCGCAAACGGAAAAGGGGGGTGTCAGGGGAGCCCAAGGGGTCCTGGGCAGGGGGTGGGGGCGCGGGGCGGGGGCGGCCCACTCACCCGCGCGTGCTGCAGCACCTCCTGCACCCGCCAGTAGCGGTCGGTGACGCGGTTCCGCAGCAAGAGCTGCGCGGTGAGGAAGACCATTGCGCCCGGAGGCCGGCGCCTGCGCTCAATCGCGCCCGCGCCGCCGGCGCCCGAGCGCTTCCGGGCCAGCGGCAGCCGGGCAGGGACTTCCGGGGCGCCGCTGCCGCCCTCGTGCGCATGCTCGCGGGGGGCGGGCTCGGGGCTCACTTCTCGCGCTATGTTACCGCGGTGCGGGTTATGCTTTGAAACGCCAAATTCTTTATTACGTGGATTTTTATCGTTACGCTACCTCCGTTAAAAAAAAATAACGAAGGGGGAGCAGAATGGGAGTGTGCAATTTCTTTATAACTTTGTAGACATAATTTTTTAAGTCACAGAAAAGTTGCAAGGCTGGTTCAAGGAAGTCTCCCATATGCTTTACCGAAGGGCACCAGCTGTTACATTTCGCTGTTTTAAATCATGCTGTAAGTATTTAAAAACACATTAGTGGGCTTTTTTTCTGGACCACTTGAGAGGCTGGAGATAGCTCAATACTTTTGAGTATTTCCTGAGAAGGAGGACATTGTCTTACAAACCACAGTAAGAGACCAACGTCGGGAGACTTAGCATTAATGCAGCACAGCACTGTCGCCTGGCCTGCAGCCCCTATTCCAGTGCTGTCGAGTGGTCTCTGCCACCCGTTTCCCCGCCCAGGACCATGTTAGGTCTACCTTTTAGTCTTAAGCCTCGGCCTTTCTTCTCTTTCTTGACCTTGGCATTCTTGAAGAATTCGGGTTATTTTGTAGAATGTCTCAAATTGAGTTTGCTTCCCTATGGTTAGAATCAGGTTATACATTTTTGGCAGAATGCTGCAGAAATTTCAGTTGAGCCTTGAACAACACGGGTCTTCGGGGCGCCAACCCCCCCCCCCAGTAGAAAATCTGCATATAAATTATGACTCCCCAAAATTTTACTGATTGCTTACTGTTGACCAGAGCCTTACCAATAATATAAACAGTCGATTAACATGTATTTTGTATATTGCATGCATAATATACTGTATTCTTTCAAGAAAGTAAGCTAGAGGAAATAAAATGGTTTTTTTTCAAATGGTTGCATGTACCCCCGTAATTTTCCAATATAGTTATTGAAAAAAAACCTGCATGTAAGTTGACCCTCAAGGTTCAAACCCTCGTTGTTCAAGGGTCAACTATGTATTTCATCCTCATCTCATGGTATCAGAAGGCCATTATGGCAGCCTATCCCAACATGGAACATGGGTGATGTCAGCTTTGACCACTTGATTAAGGTATTGTTTGCCAGGTTTCTTTACCATTTTTACGTTTGTAACTAATAAATAGCTGTAGAGAAATACTTTGTGAATTCATGACAGGCCTTCCTGTAAGACATGGAGATAGGGGTAGGACTACAGAGGTGTATCATGTAATGCCTGTTAGAGAGGGCCTCAAATGGGATGCAGACTGGACAACATCTTGGCTAACCCAATAGTTCTGAAGCAAAGTCTGCCTATTAGAGAATGTTGTGTTGGGCAGAAATGGACAGACCCCAGTGCCTTTTGCTGTGCTCAGTGGTATTTGGGGCTGCCAGGAAAAGCATGCTGTCAGCTGTGGTGGACATGGAGCTAAATGGCCAGTGTAGTCTGGAATGAATACCTGCGGAGCACCCCTGTGTGACCTCAGGCTCTGAGACTGAACAAATACCCTGCTCCTTGTCAGGTCCTTGTCAGGTTTGCACTCACTCTTTGAGCATCCATTGTTGATTCTCTAACTGCATCATTCTTTCCACATATATTGGCATTCTGCTTAAAGAACAGCCTTCCTTTTTAGAGGTACAATCTTAGGGTATGTTAGAACAGTGGGAAGGGGATGTTTGAGTAAAAGAAGGAAGTGACTGATGGAACCAGGCAGATAGCAGATGCACAGGACCTGATGCACATCTGGTATAGTCAGGAAGAGCAAAAATGCCAATGTGGTTGGAGTGGAGCAAGTGAGGGTCCCGGGGCAGTCCCCTGTACCTCCATGAGCAACTTGGAGGCGGAAATGGAAGCTAATGAGCATATATAGGGCTTGAATCTCATGTAAGGACTTTGAGGTTTGGTTACCACGTCACATTCAGGCCTCCCCACAGCATGGCCGCTTCAGGGCAGTCAAACTGCTTACAGAGCAGCTGCAGGGCATGGCGATACAGAAGGAAAACTTATTGCCATCTGGGCCCACCCTGAAAAGTCGCACAGCATCACTTTGGCAGACTCTGGTGGCCCAAATAGTCACATCTGTGAACACATCATATGCCACGAATGGCCTTCACTCTCCTGTTTTGAGCAGGAGGGTAGCATCAGCCAATTTATTAAATAAGATTACAGCTACTGTTTTATGCATGGACTACTGGGAGGCAGGGGCTGAAGCAGGAAGACCAGTGAGGCTGGGGGCTGGCTTGGCTGTGCGATATTCCAGGCACGGCTGACGGTGGCTTGGTCCATAGGGGACATGAGATAGAGCAGGCAAATGGGACAAGTGTCATGTCATTGCGAAACCTACTTAGCCTGCGAAATGGGCCCAGCTTATTCTTTAAGGTAATCTATAGGCTGTTCTTCCTCTCCCAGCCCTTAGTCAATTAAGTAACTTTGTAACTAGGACAGGAGATAAACTTCCTAAGTGTAAATGAATCTATTGGGTAAAGAATGCTGAGATCTGGATCAGCACAGTCACCTGAATAACCCTATTTTTAAGACAAAACTTCAAAGGAATTATGAATCACCTGTGTACATCATGCTTTATGCTGACCCCTACCCAAAAGTTCCTGTAAAACCCCAAGCCCTAAACCCTTATGCACACTTTCTCTCTGAGGTCACCTGCATACATCAGAGTGTGTACTGTCTTATCAGATAAGCTTTCTTGTTGCATAAGCTGATTGCACTTGTCTCCAAACTATTCTCCTTGATGAAGACAAGAACTCTCCAACCTCCACCTCTGGTGGTAAATGTCTTTGTCACGTTGCTTGTTTCATTCAGCTTTCTAGTCTCAACACAGTACTTTTCTCTCTCCCTGTTTTGTTTCAGACCAGCAGGGAAGTGGAAATTCTCAGGACATAAATGCACTCTATCCAGTGCTCTGTGGCTCCCACAAATCCTGGGGTGGTGGGGACTTAGTTCCCACATTGTGCACATCCAAGCGGACATTGGACACTAGGTGACTGGCTTTAGGAGTTGGCAAGGGACCTGCCCTGCGCTGAGCAGTTCAGGGAGCTGCCCCTTCTTCCCTCTGCTCCCCCTTTCTCTGTACTGCCTGGATGGCTGCTGACATTGGCTCCTACTCTCACTTTAATGAATTCCTTTCTTGCTGGCACTTGTTCCACCTAATTGAGAGTTCTTTCCCCATCAGAGTCTAAAGCCCTCCTGCAACCAGGTTGAGGTTTCACCAAGTGAGCTAGGAGAGACCTCCCTGGATGCAGCTGCCAGACAACCAGCGGGGAGGTGAGAGGCAGTGGGGCTCTGGGTGCACTCTGAGGGTAGCACCCACAGACTGTGCTAGCCAGCTGGGTAGAGGTCCACCCCGAAGCTTTAAAAACTATCCTTACTCAGGATTCCAAAGGTGTCACTCCCCTTTCCCCCTGTCTCATCTCCTGTGGGTCATCTTTACCTGTTACAATAAAAGGTCTACCCCTCCATCTCGGGTCCCAAGCCTCACAAGGAGCCATCTCTCCCTTTCCTGAGCCCCCACATGCAGCCCATCACTAAGTCGAAAGGGCTCTGCCTGCTTCCCCCACCTCCGCTGCTACGCAGCCATCTTGCAGTCCCCTAGTGCCTCCCATGCCAGATACAGTCCACTCTGCACTTGGCAGGCTCCTTGAACCCAGCAGCGCACGTCACATGTGCTCAAACTCCCTGAAGCCTTTGCTGCCCTGGGGTAGGACCCGAGCCCACCCATGGCCCCGGCAGAGGTACTAATTTGGTACAACTCTCATGTTTGAAAGATGAAATCTGACCTGCAAAGCTGTCCTTACAGAGAAACTTTACTTTTAAATGGAATAATGGCAATGGGTCTCCACAGAATACAGAAATGGGCAATCAGAGACGATTGTCCTCCTGTTTCTCTTGCGCCACGGGATTTTTGATTCATGGTTGAGGGCCAACAGGCGGAGGTTGGTGCCACTGAAAGAAGCTTCTCATAACTTCCGCTTCTGAGAGAAGGGGCCACAGCGGGCAGCACAGCATTAGCGGGCAGAAGCAGGAAAGATGGGCAGCCCAGACCAGAGCCTTTATGGGGATTCCCACTGGTAGGCCAGGGGGCAGTTAGGGCTGGCTTGTTTGATAAGCCTGGTGGGCCTGGGTGCACAGGGGCCATCCCTAGTGGGTTGGTGCCTGGACCTGGCAGGTTAGGTCAGGGGGGCAGGCTGAGTGTGTGAGATAGGTGGTTTGGGTTAGGGACTCTGGGTCACAGAGGAAGTGTTAGCGAATGTGTCCTGTGATTAATCGATGCCAACAAATCGTGGATCTAAGAGACACAGGAAGAATGCCCCAGGGTCCCGAGAGCAACTGAGCAGCAGCCCAGGGCAGATGGACCATGGGGAGACTGGCAGGTTTGGGTCAGTCTGTCCCCATGGCTCAGTCTCTCTGCCAGTGTGCGTGGGGCAGGCTGGAGCAGCTGCAGGGGCACGGGCCACTGCCCCCTTCTCCTCCCAGAACCTGTGGCTGCTCTCCCCTCCATCCAAGCAGGCAGGCCCAGGGGAGAGGAGCCTGGCACACACCCTCAGCCCAGGGGACAGGAGCCTGGCACGTACAAGGCTGTGGAAGCCCATGGAGCCATCTGTTGTCCTGGCTGTGTGGGCTTGGCTTGGAAGTGAGAAGCTCAGGGACCCTGGGGCTGTGGTTCCCTAGAACTCCAGTTCTCCAAAGACCTCAGACACCAAGCCCTGGGCCACCTCACCCCACCGTGTCCTCAGAGTGGGGCTGGCCCCTCGGCTCAACAAAAGCTCTGTGGTGGGGCCATGGCCACGCTCCATGGCAAGGTGCAGGGGGGTCTTGCAGAGCCAGCCAGCGGCGTTGACTTGTGCACCGCTGTCCAGGAGGTGGCTGGTGACCTCCACATGGCCTCCCCGAGCAGCATGGTGCAGGGGTGTGAGGCCCAGTAAGTCC